TGCCAGCAGGCTGAGACAGATAACCTGCAGAGTACTGTTATTAAGCTAAACAATAATAAAAGGCTTGTTATGAGGTAACTGAAATCCTGTTGAGGATTTCTTTTACTACAGGATTTACTAAGCTGGTTTAATTACAACAAGGTGATTAGAAAGTAATCCTATTTAGGCAGGAAGTTGACACTGCAACTACGAACACCTTAGCTCAGGATTAGAACTGGCCTTTGATGGGTACTTCCACCTCCAGAAAGAAACCCTTCAAGGCAACATTATGAGCATGTTTCCAAACAGCATAAAATTCTACAGTGATAATTAGCAAAAGCTATCTATTTTACAAATAGACAATGTGGACATGCAGGAACAAAAATAGCATGGCTTAATGCAGGCCAAAAGGTTATTAACTTTACTCATCTGGGAACGACCAAGAGTAGCTTGTACAGTACAACATTCCTTCCATAATGATTTCCACCTGCTGGAGGGCTGCCATTTGCCCTGCATCTCCCTGCAGCTGCTTTCCCATCTGCTGCTGGAAGCCACTGCCCTCCCTTTAGATAAGGCCTGAGGCCAGCAGATAGAAGATTCAGTTGCTCTAAGCAAACAAAGTCTTTTCCCAGTGGCTGGTTGCAGAGAACAAAACCTGCTATGTCTAGCATTGCTGGATAGCTAGCACAGCAGTCTAGGCCTTAGCTTAGTCAGCCTAAAACTCAGGTCTCAGAGAGAGCCCGGCTGGCAAAGCAGTATTTTTATTCAGCATCCATCTACACTGGCAGCCACAGGCTTGATCACAACATTAATGACATCTGCTCGTTTTCAGGTCTTTGGTGAGAAGGATCCTGGGTTTAGTGCACTGAAAGCCCTTCTATGCTATCATGGGTCTCTCTTTGCAGGGATTGTATTTTCTGCAGGAAAGGTATGAGCTTCATTAGGGGAACATTTGATTCGCTAGTGTTTTGTTATTTAATTTAACACAGCTTAATGTATATACCAGAAACAAAACATCAACGGCCTCAACTGATACTTTGAATTAGTCCACATTTACTCTCTCAACATAACCAATTGTAACATTTTCAGCAAAGATTCATATGACATGTAAACACTCCCTCTGCTCCCCTGAAGTTCTCCAAACTAAAGATTAAGTGGAAGTGTAAAAGGTCCTTTAGAAAGACAGAATATTTCTGAGTTCTAAAGACAGACATTGTTGAATTATGTGAGGTTGATATAGGCAAAGTGATTACCAAAAAGGCTCCCCATAAAACAAGGAGTAGGTATACAGGGAGTTTAGGAAAATTTTATTCTAAGGCATCATTTTGAATTTTCCTGTCCTGGAGCAATCTGCAAATTGAGCCGCTGTCCAGCTTTTGAGCTCCTGGCGGCTCCAGCACATTTCTCATAACGCCCACAGTTTAACGGACTCCTTCTCCATAAACTGCACACCCAGTCTGGGGGTTGTAACGTAATAGTGTGTGGAGAAGAGACATCCTGGCAATCATTTTTAACCAGAAAAACTCCCTAGCATACAGCAGGGTGGTATGGACGGCGCCAAACCCCTGAGGGTCTTAAAGATATGTAACAATAGAATATCATTAGAACATGCAAATCAGCCTTGAAGAATCCCATTTTCTAACCTGTGAAATTGCTTGGACACAGAGATCTGTCACTTGTTTTCATGACTATCAGAGAAAGCAAGCAGAGTTCTCAAGAGAGTTACACAGCAATTTATGACAAATCCTGTGTTTGGTTATATGAGTGTGTTTCTTACAGCTAGCTGACAGCAGCTGTAAGACCATTCCAGGACACAAGACTGGACAAGTCAGTAGTTTTAAGGAGCTCTTGACTCAGAGTCTATTCAGAAGAGCTGAAAAGTATGTTCTGACTAACCAGATATCTTTTGCAAGCCTCAATATTATTGAACTCCAGAAACTGCTCTTCATTTTTAACCTCTGAATATCTAATCTTCTGGATGGAAGGCTGCATAGCGTGTGACACCCTTACAACAACCTTGAGGCTTTAAAATTAACAGAAGTACTGTTCTTTCCTCAGAAGTCCTGGCTTGAGAAACTGATGGGTACACAGTGTGCTTTATTTTTACCTGCGTAACATAAAAGATCTTTTGCAGCAAATTTGAGATGTACTACGTTTCCACCATCAAGTACAAGAAATTAATAAAATATTCAGTGCATCTTAAATGAGTAAAAAATTTAATTAATATAGCACAGTAGGCATGTTACTGAAGTATTTCAGGATCAGATAAAATGGCTGACATAATTTAAAGTTTAACACAGGTTATTTAAAGTCTCTGCCTCATAGGTAAACAGCTCATCTAAGAGCATACCCTGTAATGCTCTCTTTTCAGAAGTTACAGAAGAAATTTTCAGGCAAGTGAAGTTATTTCCCATTTTAAATCCACAATTAGATCAAAATTATTTGGTAAACCAATTCAAATAGTGGCTGCATCAATAGATGTAGGTAACTGGAACTTCTTTTGTTTATGTTGCTTTTCATGCTTCTCAACATGTACCATATCCCAAAAACAAATTCTGGTTATTAACCTAATACTCAGAGGCCTTTGTTTTGTATGATCTCACAGGAAAAAAAAAAAAAACAAACCACCCAGGTTTTATAAGCATGACTCTTCTGCCAAAAAAATCCTCTGTACATAAGCAGACAATTAAAGTAAATTTTAACTAAAATTACTTCCCATTAGAGGTGGGCATAATTTGCCAACATTCCTCAATTCCCTTCACAGAGGTATCTTAAAGAGGAAATAAACAAAACACTGCTGTCTGATAAAATCATTACCTACACCCTACTCAAAGGAGAAAACAGAAGTCACTTAGATTTCTATGGGAAATATAAAATAGTTTGCAGTGGTTCAGAGTTTCATTAATTCATGAGGTATTGTAATTACTGAAGGACGACAATAATGCATGTGAAAGAAAAAATACAGTTTCTGAATGTTCAGTCGCAAACAAATTCAGGCTCAATTGATTTAGCAAGTTCATGCAGACACAGCCTAACTGTCTAGAATGAAGATACATTGTGAGGACATTTATGAGTAGTTTTGTTTCATTTTTAAGACTCATAACTGCAATGACCCACTTAGTTTATAGTATTATTTCATGCAGAAACAAACTAAGGTTTGTCATCAGAATGCTTTGGATTACACAGAAGCAAAGGGTTAATTAAAATAAATCATCAAAACCAGGATCTATTATCGTCTACCAAACAGAAATTATAGTGAACATATCTTTCACTAATCCTGTACTTAAACAGATTATGGGTTTTTTGGTTTTTTTTTTTAATGGAAAGCTGGAAGAATCTCATATGTTTTGTATGAAGTATCACAATCACTTATATCCTAACTAACGTGATATTAGGGCAAACAAAAGGGACTCATTCTCTGCTATTACAAAGCATTCCTTCTACCAAGCTACCTCTCTGATCATTTTAACATTAATTTTTCATTTGGTTTCCCCGAGAGGCTAACAATAAGCAGGCACAATGCAACTGTCACCTGCACACCAACAGGCAGTAACAGCTGATTTTGAGTTGCTTCATGTAAAAGGTTCAAATTCAACTGTCTTATGTAGAAACCGGGAAGAAGAGGAATTGAATACCTATCAAGAAAGCAACTGGTTCTCCACCAGGACTGCACAATCCCAGCAGCCCTTCATCAAGAACACTGTAGATTCAGTTCTTTATATCACTGCCCATCTGCCAGCCATATGACTGTAATGCCTTGAATACATACCAGTCTGATAAAGAATTAGGAAATCAAATTAGTGGAGAGCCAATGGGATTCATCACCATCCTCAGCAGAATGACAGGTAATACAAACCTTGCAAAACAGATTTGCACAGCGAAAGGTTTAAAATATGTAAAATTTAATAATAAAAAACTAGACTGAGATCTGCCAAAATTGCTGGAGTTTTTACCCTTGCTCTATTGTGATTATGTTGTATTATATACATATGCAGGCTGGCCCATTAAAAACAAGCTGGAAATGCCAAGATTTCAGTTGTATCTTCTTAATTTACAGAGGATAAGACATACAGCACAGAGCGATAATCAGAATCTTGGAAATATTTATTTCCTACTTCCATGAGAATGATGAGTTTAAGCTGATTTCTCTCCTAGAGCTTTGTTAGCCTGAAATTTGAAACATTCTGCAAGATTCCTATATACCTTAAATAATACACTTCTCTGAACAGAAACTATGTGCTGTATGCCTGAATTTCACAGCTATTTCTGTTTCTTGAAAGGGGTGCACACATTAAAAATAAGATGAAGAAGTTATAGTAGGAATCAATCTAATCAGTATGCTGGGGTCCAGTCTATGAAGTCTCTCGAAACTCCAGAAAACTAATGGACAACATTTTTAACACTGGATTTACACATTCCATCAAATGTGACAACTCTCTCAAGTGTGTATTCCACTACCCATATTTTTAGGAGCTAATTTTGTTGATACATACATAGCTCATACACTGGCCTGCTGTAAAGACTGGAATTATTCATATTTTAAAATAAATGTTGATTGTGCAAGAAACAATAACCATTTTTATGCACCCTTCAACAGATCCCTTCAAAACATATCAGCAGCTTCGCTATCCAGAACAGAAATACACAGTAGAAAAGAAGCATCAAGCCAGAGCAACCAAAAGGAAAACTCAGTCAACTAATAAATGAAGAAACAAGGAATGAAATCACAACAATCAAGTCATTAAGGTCCAGTCCCAGCCCTCCATCCTCATGGAAGCCAATAAAAATTAGGCACCAACATTTTCTTAGAATGCAATCATAGGTGCTTCTAAAAATATTCTAGAATGAGAGGTCATCTACTATGAAAAAATATATACCAAATATATTGGCATTTAAGGGGTTTTACATTATTTCACTATAACAAACCACCTTCTACACAGATTTGCAACAAACATCATCACCTTGACACTTGCTATTAACTAAACGTTTCTATTGCATTTTGTGATCAGAAGATACGATACCTCTGTCTGAAGTATGGCAGCTCTCTGTTCTTTGGCAGTAAGTGACTCTTTAAGCACTTCAATGTGTTGCTTGCAATCTGAATTCTGATTGCTAAGGGTTTCAAGCTTAGTTTGTAAGGCAAGAAGTTCCGATTCTTTCTTTGAGAGTTCTTGTTTCAGTTGGTCAATCTGTAATGGGGGGAAAAAAGGTTAGATCATTAATTTCATTTTGCATTTCCAATTCATAGTTGCACTTGAAACCTGAAAGGTGTGAAGGACCATGTTGACAACTCAGACACCTGTAAATTCTGGAAGAGAATTGAGATTTGGAATTTTTACACTCCACTCCAATTGAGTTCCTTTTAATTTTACGTATACTGTCTTAAGAACGATTGCCCTGCTGTTGCAGGAGTTAAAAGGAAACTCTTAAATATTATACATGATGATTTGGCCTATAAATTTACCATGGACCTCAGTTAAGTTCAAAAGAATTTATCCTGTATGACCCAAGACTGCCAGGACAGGAAAAATGCATAGGAAAAAGGTGTTCATAAAAGTATAAATTCAATCCAATAGCCTAATCTCCAACAGCATGATTCTTGTGATTTACCATTGGCCAGAGTGAATCAAGGTTTTTTAGGAGCCTGATAAGGAAAAGCAGGCTTCTTAGTAAGGAGAGGAAAATTGGAAGTGGAATTTTAACCTTAATCTTTTTGCAATTGTGTTCCTGCCCACCATCCCCACCTAATCTTTTCCTCCCTGGCAGTTCATATGGAATTCTCAGGTACTAGGAAAGCCAAGCCAAAGATACTAACTTAAGAGAAGTCTGGGGAAAATGTTACAAAAGAACTCCACAGAGAGAAAGGTCTGTGAGACTGTAGAAAAGCACATCCTAGAGGAAACAGCAGAAATCCAGTCACTAAGATGGAGTGTCTTAATATAAATGAATCGTAGAATGATATTGAACGCTTTGCACAATTTAAGATTCATCAGTAAATATCATGGAACTGTGATTATTCTACCCTTTCCACAATGATACATGGGAGGGGTAGCCACAGAACACAAATGTATGGTGGATTTAGAATATACGAATCTGAACAAAGCACTGGAGAAGACACAGAATAATGCCAAAGGAAGGTGAACTAGATGACTTATAACTATTCTTCTTAAAGTTCTGTGAAATAACACTAGTCACCAGAGGAGTTCAGATATATCATCTCATAAGGATTATTTGAAATAAAACACCTCAGTGTATCTGCATAACCCAGAGAAACTACACTTCCTTTATATTTGGAAAGTTTTCTTGATGACTAAGGACTAGATAGCTTTCTTTAAAATTCAAGCTTCAATTCTGGAACAGCCAGAAGAGGGCTAGAAGAGCTACTTCCACTCTCTCCCATCAGTTGCATCCCAACAAACATTTGGAATGCAAGAAATATAGATGGAAGGCGATTCAAAAGTCCCCAGGAAAAAAAGATTATGTATCCATAGGCTGATCTTACACAACCACATCCTAAATATCCACATACTGAAATATTTCACAGTTTCAGTGTTGTATGGCACAATCACTGGAAACATTTACTGTTGATCAAAATATTTTTTTGTTTTATGTTGCAAGTGTATCCTTAAAAATTAAGTTTAAAAAATATGCCTCCCAACTATAGTCTACATGCACATCTTAATATATTTTATCCCTTATTTCTCTTTATAACTCTCAATATGTCTGGTTAAGGCACTTGGCTAGCCAGCCCTCAACCACTGTATAAAATCAAGAATCTATACTGGCACTAAAAGCAATCACCTTCACAGTCTGAAAATGACAAAATAAAAAAGGAGCACACAAAAAGAAACAGATGTCAAGAAAATATGAAGAGTGCAGTTAAGAAACTGCTAGAGAAAATTGTCTCTTGAAATCAAACCACCTTCCTCCATCCCTTGCCAGAACATGTAAGCGAGTATGCAACCAAGACAAAAATGTATACAAAATGAACAATGGGCAAATCTGTCTACAAGATAAAAAGACAAAAAGATCTGCAGCCAATCTGAATTACATCATATGCCTTATACGAGACCCATGTGAACATCACAAATGCTTAACCTCTCCTAGAAACTCTTCATGCTTCTTTCCATGACACAACCCACACACTGAGAAATAATCAACAACAACAAAAAAGCTTCCTTTCTATTGCAGGTATGTTTCTGTGTTTCAGAAACAGAATCTGTTTAGTATAAAGTTCTGGCTACAAGACCTACAAATTGCTAGGACTTCAAAATTGTGTTAGAGCTCTCAAAAACAATGTTTTTTTTAAATGTTGAATAATGATGCTTTTGGCTGGTGTTTTATTCAAACAAAGTATAATGGTGAAAATATATGACAACTTGCATTTTGAAAAATTATCAAAAATATCAGAGGCATAGCAAGAAAGTGCATAACTTCTTAGGAGAAACTTTTAGACCTATGTATATTTGCTTTTTTAAACTTCTGCAATATCTGTTAGTATGTAAAAAAATTAAACAGGGCATAAAATAAATCTCTGTCTCCAGCAGATGTGCAAACATTTTCATTTGGCTACATCTTAAGCACTGGGGAAGACGAACAGTTAAAATTTGATGATATCTACTGATCTCAGTACAAGAAAAGACAAAGGCAAAAATGTTCTTGTTTTTATAAAGACTACAATGAAGATAACCCACAAGTCTGGGTGTAAGTGCTGCAGCATCTAAAGAACTCCAAGTTTGTCCTCTGATCCTGACCTTCCCACTATCTCACATATTTCATATGTGTAATTTGCCTGTCACCACTTTTTCAACATTGCCCAATATTATCTTGCTTCACCTCCTTTCCTGAAACCCTAGTTTCTTTGTCTTCCTTCTCAATTTATGATTCTGTCACCTCCCATAATTTCATTTCCTTAGATAGTAGCTTTTCCAGAAAGCCATTATCCTTTTTCTGACGTTATCATTTTTATACAGCAAAATCTTACATGACATTACAGAGAGTAACAAGGAAACAAAGAAAACAAAACAAAACAATCAGAGCTTTTCTCCTGAAAAACACATATTAAAATCAATAGACTAAATCTTTAAGTAAGTCATTCTATTCAATGAAACTATGCCAATTTATAGTTCATAAGGATCTGGTCTAATGTGACAAATAACAACTGCTTTTTAAAGTGAAGGAATTAAGTAAAGGAAAAGCAATGCAAATGAAGTGGCTGCATATAGACTCTTCATGTCTACCTGCAGATTCTACAAGTTATATTGGTCAAGGTCTATTTTTAAAGTGTTTATCATGTTTCCAGGGCTGTAGTTCTTGCCCTGTATATTCATCTAAAAGTTGCACTCTTCCTTGACACAGTGTTAAAAGTTCTTATACAGAGACATTAATTACAGACTGCCCTGTTACGGCCTAATCAGTTCTTAAAACTCATCTTAACTGTACTTTGCTGAAGTTGTACTAAACTATCACTAGATTTTCATAGTCATTCCTGTCGATAAAATGAGTTCTAACACTCAAATGCTACTTAAATTCCAGCCTGCAAACTTACACCTGAACTAATGCAGTGTCCCTGTAAATACCTGGCTGCTAGCCAAAGGACACACCCTAGTAAGAGAAGGAACCCTTGCAAAGCAGAAATTATTTTTAAAAATGCATTATCAACTTATATGCTTTCCTCATATCCTTAATGAAGATATATCCTAATGAAGCTTCATATCCCTTAGTCATGAAAACTTCTTTTGACGGTTCCTCTACCATGTGAGTGATGGCAATTTTTGCCCCTTCAAAAACAGAGCAAGGCAAGACCCCATCAAGTGGGCAAGAAAAAATAAAATCTAAGCAACTTTTCTTTCTCATTTCTACAACTTCCATTTAACTGCAAGTCAAAATTAAAGCCTATGTATTTGGAAGGAGTGAATATTACTAAGAATTAGTTATGAAAAGGAACTTCCCGACATTTTCTGCCACTCATCAAAAATACTATTCAGAATTGGTCTCCATTTAACATCTTCCCATTTATTTAAATCAAAACCACATTTAGAACAAGTTAGGAATAATCCTTCAGGAATAAATGTGAAGTATTAAGAGCTTTATAGCACCTAAGACTGTTAGCTGTGAGGAGAGCTTTGCCCTGCTCTTCACCATCAATCAAAACTTCTGTTTATCAGCATTTATCAACAATCTCAGGTTCAATAGATCAGCTATAATAAGATGTTTGCTGACAGCTACATAAATACTTTTCCACCTTGAAAGGTTCTCAGATGAATGATAAAAATAGTATCTTCTGCTGCAAATCTCAATTTTAAGTGGAAGAAAAGGACTGGTGAAAGAAAACAGACAAAGTTTCATCAGAATGTGGCATTTATCAAAGATCAGAAGATTGACAAAACAAGGCATGTGTAGTAGTCCTCTCAATCATCTGCTTTCTGTGCCACAGAAATACACTGAAGCTTTTCCTCTCTAAAACATCAGAAGATTGTTAAGAAAATACTAAGCTTTTTATATTATTTTTATATCACCAGATTTTCTGCAATGCATTAGGAGTTTTCCTGTAAATTACTAAAACTGAATTGCTTTGAAAGTAACCATGTTTAAATAGGGAAAATAATTTCCCTGATGATAATGCTACTTAGGAATTTTAGCTACTTTACAGTAGCTTAAGAGATATTTTTTTCAAGAGAATAAATATATTTGTTGACTTTTTTTGGTTGAGGTTTTCTTCTTCTGGCTTTCTTCTTCAGTGTTTCCGCTTCAGGCTGCTGTGACTTGTTTCACCCATCTTAGTATAGCTTATAAATAGTACTTCAAAAATGCTATTTCCAAAACCTAAATTTATTCAAACAAGAGTGGGAGCATCCACTCCATGATTTCAAACTTGTTTTTTTTTCTTTTTATTGAGTACTTTAATTCAGTATTTTATCACTTCATAAACTAAATACATTCAAGGCAGACAGCTGGGGATAAAAAGGCACAATTTGTAACATTATATATATTTATTACAAATGTTAAGGCACTTATAAAAATCAGTAAAGAAATATTAGAACTCACGAGGAAGACTATTTAGAGTGCTCGTCTTTACCTAAACAGCAGCTGAGCACATAAAAATGAAAGCAGGTAAAAAGGACAGCTGGGCCAACAATTCGGACATCAAGCTTTACTTCTGATGTATTTTAAAATATTGAACAATCAATACTGTTTTGTGAGCTTGACACCAGGAAACGTGTTACATCACTACACATTTAGTAGATGCTTGTGGTCAATTCAAAATTGTCTACATACAATAATTTGTAATAAAAGGTACTCTGCAGGAACAAAGTCATCAAATTGCAAATCTTTACAATACTAGAGATTACAATTTGGCAACATCTATGGAACAGTGTCCTTACTGTAAAACTACAGTCAAAACCAGAAAAAAAACCCACAAAGTTGTGCCAAAATAGCGCAAGCCAATATTTGAGCTAATTCAAACAGCCAACACTGAAGCACCACATACAAGAAATGGAAAAGGGAACACGGTATAGACTCAGGACTGTAGAAGACTCTGCTGAAGTGGTCAAATAGCATCCTCCTTACCTATTCTTAAGCCAAACAAACACATTTTTATTTATAAAAAATGCTTCATTCCTCCATAGATACTGAGTATTGCATAGCACAGATTTACCAAAAGATGACATGGAGAAAGCTGCTTGTGTTGAAAAGGGTCAAGTTAATCCTGTTTAAATAATAGGAAAAAAAGTTCTAAGCTATTTTGTTAATGGACCTTACCTTGTTTTTCATGAACTTTGAGTGACTCTTGTAAACTTCTATTTGTTTGATTTCTTCTTCTCGGTCCTCTGTATTCAGAACTCCATTTGTCTTTAACATCTGTATTTCATCTTCAAGATCTCTTATATTGCGTTCAAGGGAAGCTATCTTTGTATCCTAAGTTATAAAAAAAAAAAAAAAGTACTGAAAATGACATGAAACCCACATTGAAGCATATCCAAAGTGCACCTGTACTTGCCTGAACATTAACTAAGATAGCAGGAAGAAATGGTACAGATTGCAGACTCTACCATAAATCAAGAGTAATTCCATTGATTTTGCCTTAAAGAAATGCAGAATTTAGACTGCTTTCACCACCAGAAAAAATGTGCAATGCTATGTTCTGTTGTGTAGTCTGTAGAGAATTCATTCTGGTCAAAATTCTGTCTTCATTCCTACACACTTATTTCCCAAGTGCACATAACAACATACCTTGTTTGCTTTGTTAACCGTTTAGGCCTGGCTATTCTTCCAATCTCTTAAACACAAAGTTTAGCCTAGAGAGGCCAGTATCTCATCACTGCAGGACAACAGGATACTTCATTATGTGACAGACTCAGGCTGAGCTTCCCTGTTTCCATAGAGTTCTGCCTGCTGTCAAGAGGAAGAAAGGTTGGTCTCCCCATACACTTTTCCTCCACTAATTCAGCCACATCAGAGAGAGGAGATTTAGCACATTTTATTACAAGTCCTAAAATAAACAAAACCACCACCACTACAAATTGTCATATCACAGCCAAAAGCTGCCAGGCGGGCCAGCACAGCACTGAAAACACCCTGTTGCTGCCCATCATTTGGAAATTGAGTAAATCTCTTAATTGAGAGTCAGAAAGATTAAAAATATTATTAGACAAACTTCTCATGTGATTTTCTGTTTAAAAGAGCATTGCAAAATGACTAATTAGAAAACCTGCTTAGGCTTTTGAAATTGAAATCTTGTGATTCAAATGGTCAGTCATTTCAACAACATGAAGGAGAAACCACCCACCAAAAATCAGACATCAGGGGTGAAGTTCTTGTTCCACTGAGGATAATTAAAAAAAAAAAAAAAACCCCACATCTTGTTTCGGTAAGATCAGAATATTAACCTAGAAAGATAATTTGGGAAAAAATACAAAAATACAAATTGAATTTATCCTTTAACCAGGAAGAGTTAAGCTTAAATTGTGCTGAACTATGACTTTGTTTCTTTTTCAAAATCAGTTTTATTTTCCTGAGTTCTAAGAGTCCAGCAGTGCTTTCTCTCAGCTGCCTAAAAGTAAGAAAAAACAGAACGTATGCAACACCTCCTTTCATAATACAGCTAGGCAAATTTAGCAATTTAAAACAGGATAGTTCGGACAAAGTTCCAAAAAAGCATCAGAACTTTTAGTACTAATGCAAAAATGAAACTCAGTTTTAGCAACTACTGTTACAAGCCCATTTGAAATCAAAAGTATGTAAGAACTAAACACTGTCATTTAGATGGCACTCTATCATCCCCCTAATGTTTTATTTTCTTATTTCTTCCTCAGTTAAATAAACAGAGATTTTTGAACGGGAAAGATTTTAACTATTTAGTTTGAAGCACAAAAAGCTATTCATGATGTTCAAATATTCGTACTCTGAAATCCTGGAGCTTTTACAAGATCCGACAGGATAAGTACTCATCATATGAGATTAAAGTTTGTATTTTCCTTCCAATTTTCACTCCCAGAGAAATTCTACTTAAAAATAAAATGGTAACATGATTTAATTTATGGTAACTGTGGTCCTTCAAGATTTTTCTCTCAGCAGCTGATGTTCTTTCACCAAACATGCTGGAGTGCATAGAGATACTTCTGACTAGAGTAGCTGAGAATAATATCTTGAATATCTTTTATAACTTTGATTAGTGAAATAACACTTATTCTCAGCCAATCCTATTCCTATGTGGGACAACATATCTTAAAGAATGGTATTTACTGTAGTTAAAAATACTATTCATTTGTAAGGTAAAGAAAAAACTTATTTGCTCAGATTTTTTTCTGTTATTATGGAGTCAAAAATTAAAATTCACACTATAGGAGCTGTGTGAGAGGATTCTACCTGTGCAGTGTGAAACAGTCCCACCAAAATTAGCATTAGAAATTCACAGCTTCTCCAAAAAATAATATCACATGAACGCACTCAATGAACCCCAAAGAGCTTTCCCATATATTTCCATCAAAGAAGTACTTAGGATACAGAGACAGTTTGCCTAGAAAATAAAGCTGTCACATAAAAGTTCATTTGATATATCATACCACAGATTGACCCAATTAGAAGGTCTGCATAGAACTAATTTATCCACACTGTTTTCATAAAGTCAAAGCAATTGAGCTCAAATTCCAATTAGTATCAGCTACATAGGAAACAAGTATTTGCCTTACTCTTCAATGGCAAGGTCGCTCAGACCTCTGTGCTTAATGAATGGGTTCAAGCAAGAGGACTATCCTCAGTGAGGACTCAGTCAGGGCTTACTTGTGAGAACTCAACTCATACAAATCCATGGGACTCAACAGGCTTCACCTCAGGGTGTTGAGACAGCTGGCTGATGTCCTTGCAAGCCCACTCTCTAGCATCTTCGAAAAATCATGGGAAGTGAGGGAGATGCCTGACAACTAGAGGAAGGCAAATGTTTCACTCATCATCAAGAACAGACGAAAAGAACAAACCAGGGAACTAAGGCCTGACAGCCTCACTACGTTCCCTGGGAAAATTATACTACAGTCTTCCTGGACAACATTTTTGATCACATGAGGGAGAAAGTAATTGGAAACAATCAGTGGGGATTTACCAATGGTACATCATGCCGAACTAACCCAGTTGCCTTCTTTGATAAAATTATTAGATTTGTGGATGAAGAAAGAACAGTGGCTGCCATTTACGTCAACTTTAGCAAGTCTTTGGACACAGTCTCCCATATTTTTGTATCCAAGTTAAGATTTGACAAATTTTGCCTATCAACAACATTGTGAAAATGGGAAAAATACATCTAGCCTGCTGCTGAATGCAGATTCATGCACTTGCATCGCAGAGTGATACACTAGCTTTCAATGGCAGTTATGTTTCTGGTTTATACAACTACACTAATACATTGTGTTTCCTGTCTGAAGAGTTTTTCAGTGTGTTTTAATCCAGACAAGAGCCCAGTGATGTAACAGAACGTAAAACTTTTCAGTAAGAAATCTTGAGACAAAATCATTTGAAACAGAAGTTGCGGAGAGGAATCTTCTATGACAGCAAACATACTTTCATGCCATACAAGCAAAGTTAACACACTTTAAAGGGCAATATAAAAATCCTTTGTGCATCTTACAAGTTTCCAAAGTAACTGCATCCCCTTTCAGAAAAGAAGCTCCAGTGGAAAGAGAAAAAAGTGCCAGAATGCAAAGTAAACAAACAAAAAAATTCTTGGAATGTGAAACTTGATGTTCCTTATCTTTTACCTCACTAGCTGTTTCTTTTCTGGAAAATATCTGATAGTGAAAATGCTGATGATAATCAGCAGTCGTTATTTTCCTTTTTTGAAGGGTATGTTCAAAGAGAAAGAGTATTCCACCAAAAATTAATTTAAAAACACAAAAGGAGCTGACTAGGGATGAAATTTTAAAAAAAAAAAACAAAACAACAAACAGAAAAAAAAACCCACAACAACCACAAACCACCCCCACCCCCCATTCTGGAAGACTTCCAACCAGCTTTTAGGTTATATGCCTATACCTAATATAATTATGGAGCTGCTTTTTTGAATAACAGTTTTTCAAGTTACAAATAAAATGCAACTTAAATTACTTAGTATCTTATTCTAACATTACTAAATGACAGATTTCCAATAGCAGAATCCTAAAGATTTATTAATATTTGTCCAGGGAATCAGCATTTCTCATATCACAGAGCCAAGGCTGTATGAATGGTCATAAAACAGAAGTAATCTTCATTAAATGACCAGCCTGTCACATGACAGGAGATAAGTATTTTTAAGATGTCAAACGTTCTGCCCATGAAACATTTTTCCATATCTTTTTTTTTTAAAAAGATAAAAGTGAAAAAAAAGGTTGACATGGAATAAAAAAAAAAAGGGGAGGGGGAGGGAAGGAATTCTCATTAAACCTTTTCATTTGGAGAAATTGCATGTAAAGAAAAATACTAAAAAAGGGGTAAAAAGAATTTTAAAAGTTATCAAGGCTTATGCACAACAATAAATTATTGTAGCTCTCAGATACTCCAATCAAATCAGCTTGCTCCATCAGACTTCATTTTTGAAATTTTCTACTCCTATTATTGAAGATAAAAGCAAAACCTAATCTTCACTGCACTTTAGAATGATATTTTATGAAAACACATTAATACTTACATGACCTCTTATGACATCTCATCTGGGAGTAGTCCTCATCAAATCTCTCCAGCTAAGTCTTTGTCTGGCTTTTCATAATGCATTTGTATTTTGCATGTTTGCAGATATAACATGGCAGAAATAATTTATAGCACTGCCTTTTAGACTCTTTAGAAGGTTTATACACCACAGAACAACATCTGAGCTTTATGAGAAATATCTAACATAACATTTGGAAGCATTTTCTGTACTTCTACTTTATCACAAGTCTGAACTCTCCAAGGAAAAGTTTATTTTTAATCAATCTCTGCATACTGTGATTACAGCTGTGTAAAAACTAGTTTTCCCAACTCTAGAAAAACTGTCACTGTCACTTTTGTTATTAACTTTTTATTGGAACAGAAGGCAGAATTTTCACACATTTTGAAGACTAAAATCTGTTTCAGAATAATTTATCAAAAACATGAGTGATGGCAAGACAGAAGAGAAGCCAGACACCTCCTTCATTCACAGAAAGTTGAAGTCAAAGTACCGTTCCCTTCCATAAGAACAATACAGGACTGGCAATTCTGCAAATATGCCAGGCAGGCTGCTGGCTTGCCCTGGGAACCTCGAAGTTTTTCTGTCTGGACAATTGCTAGAAAGTGAGGGACCTTTGTATATCAAAGACAGTGCAGACAGCCGAGAGCTCCCAATGGGTACTGCCACAAGGGAGCTGGGTTAGCTTACAGGATAGACAGAAAGTTAGCTTTGCTTTCACTAGAGGTTTTGACAGAATAGG